GGAAGAAGGGCGGACCAGAAGATGGGCGATGGTGGGGCAGACGGCGGGGGGAGACAGCGGGAGACCTGTGGTAGGGTAGGGAGCGCGCTCAAGGCAAGGTGGGGTGGATTTGGCACACCCATCACAGGGTGGGGGTACTCTGGCATGGAGGTGACAGGGGGGGGGGGGGGGGCAGGTGTTTCGGGAACGGGCATCATACACTCTACAGCGATACCCGGGTCTATACACTCTGCGTTGGTGTCCCGGCCACACACCTCGTGGAGTGGCTCGCAATCCGCGCCCCCGTCGTACACGCACATATGGAAGCGTCCGCCCCCCTTGTCGTGGTAGAAGTCGTGGCAGCTGTCCGCCGGCGCCAACCGGCAGTGCTTGCCATTCGGGACGGGAGTGCGCCGCGCGAGGTCCGCGCAGGTGAAAGGTGGCGACAGCGGCGGCGGCGGCGGCAGCGGAGGCGGCGACGCTGGCAGCGGAGAGGCGGCGGCTACCGGCGGTTTCGTGGGCTGGGCAGCCGCGTGGGAAGCGGCGAGCGCGAGCGCGGCGGTGGCCAGGATTGGCGAGGTGTGCATTCCTGACACAGGTCGGGTGTGAAGAGACGCCAAGCGGGCTCTGAAAAAAGAAAGCTAACACCTAGAGAGAGAGAGAGAGAGAGAGAGAGAGAGAGAGAAGGAGAGGAGACATCCGGGGAGGAGGGTGGTGGCGATGCATCGACGACAGAAGAAGGGAGGGAGGAGGCAGGGATGGTGCGATCGGATGAGGACAGAGAGGAGGGAGGAGAGAGGAAAGGAGAGGACGCTGAGCACTTTGACTCTGCGCCATGGATGAGTGAGCAGCGCGAGGAGGCAGGTGGGAGCAACCGGAGGATGATGGAGACGATTGTAGTGGAGGCGCTGAGAAATCTATGGGGAAATATCAACGAGGAACTGCTGGTGTACGAGGAGAAGCTGGAGGAGGTTGCGCAACAGGGGGAGGAGAAGCGGCGTAGGGAGACAGGAAGTCATCGTGTACGTGCGAACGAAGATGATTTGTACCGTCGGGGACAAGGGGCTCGCTTGGTGGAAGGGGCCGTGCGGGAGATGGTGCCGAGAGGGGACGGTTCCGCACTGGACTTTTTTTGTAGTGGAGAGAATTAAGGAATCTTTCTGCTCTGGCAGGCAGCTGCACCATTCCCCTTTACTTCAATCAGCTGTGTACACTCAAGTGCTGTTACTGTCTGAATAGCTGTCTAGACGCTCCGATTTTGCTGTCTGGACGCTGTCTGGACACTGTCTGGACGCTGTCTGGACGCTGTCTGGACGCTGTCTGGACATGGAAGATCGCATGAGGTGTGAATAGACCTGCAGACAGGAATCATACTCTGATACTCAACAACACGTCGGCCAGCTGTGAGCGATCAAAACTTGAGTTGCATTCTCTTGGTTGGATGGATGGACGTGGTATGACGCATGTGGACATAACATCTTTCTCAATGGAAACCGATGTGAAAGGACGGCGTGGCGGCGATGTGAAAGGACGGCGTTGCGGCGCCGCAAGCGCGTTCGGTCGCGCGCGCCCCGAGGCCGCCGTCGTGGGTGCAGCGTGCGTGCCTGACTGAACTGCTGGGCTCGCGCTTTGCCCAATGCGCAGCGGCGGGTCGACGTGGCTACTGCCGGCCCGCAGCTTCTTCATCGGCTGCGGCGCGGGGCTCGCGGCTGCAGCATGGAACCCGACCAATGTGTGCCCACGCTTGCTCTGCCCTTTGCGCAGCATCGTTGCGACGTTGGCGTTGCCCAGTTGCCGCCACAGTTGCCGCTCTGCCGGAGTTCTTCGCGGGCACTTTGGGGGACCCTTCTGTGAGAGGGCCTGCTGTCTAGACAGCTGTCTAGACAAAAGTACAAGTTCAAACTTCAAGTTCTCAAGTTCTCAAGTTCTGCTGTCTAGACAGCTGTCTAGACAGCCCCCACCCCCACCCCCCCCCTCAATGGCATGGCAAGTAAAGAAAGCGGCATGCGGATGGGTGGGTGGGTGGGTGGGGAGTGGCCTCGGCAGCGCCAGGGGTGCTGTCAGGGGTCGTCCAGCCACGACTACGAGACTTTACTGTGAAGAGTGGAGCCATGTGCCACTGTCTGGACGCTGTCTGGACGCTGTCTGGACACTGTCTGGACGCTGTCTGGACACTGTCTGGACAGGCTCAGGACTGTCTAGACATGTGTGGGAGCTCCACAAACCAGGTTCGGAGGCGAAGCTGGCCGCTGAGCGAGCGGCAGCGGAGGAGATGCTGCGGGCGAGGGAGGCGGAGAGGTTTGCGGCGGAGGAGGCGCAGCGAGAGGAGCAGCGGGCGGCCGCGGCGGCGCGCAAAGCCGCTCAGGCAGAGGCGGCGCGTCGCGAGAAGGAGGCTGCAGACAGGAGGGCGGAGGAAGAGAAGGCGAGGCGGCGCGCAAAGGCGGCGGAGGCAACGGCGGCCAAGATGGAGGCCAAGGCGAAGAACAATAAGGCCAAGAAGGCGCCGTCTGCCTGCACGCTCGAGGAGGAGCGGAGGGCGCGGGCTGCGGCAGAGCTTCGCGCGCAGGAGGAGAGGGCGGCGCAGCTGGCTGCTGAGCAGGAATCGACGAGGCGAGCGGAGCGCGAGGCGGCAGAGCTAGCGGGTGCGGCGGAGCGGGCGGCGCTGCGCGAGGATGCGGAGCTGGCAGAGGCGCTGCGCCGGTCAGAGGCGGATGCGGAGGAGGCGCTGGCGCGTCGGGTGTCGCGGTGCGAGGAGGCGGTGAGCAGTGAGTCGACCGGCGGCGGCGGGGACTTGCAGCGGCGTGTCGAGCGGCTGGAGGCGAGCCTCGGCACGGCGACCGAGGGCAGCCTCGAGGAGCGGGTCGGCGCCATCGAGCGCTTGATCGGGCCAGAGGCGGGAGAGGTGGCGGAGCAGCCTCTGTCAGCCACCGAGCCGCTAGCTGCCGTCTCGCTAGCGGACGCCGGCCTCGACACGGGGCGGCCAGCTGCCCCAGAGTCCACGATGGGGGGAGAGACCACGTGCATCGTGTGTTTCGCGAGAGTCAAGTCGCATGCTGCGGTTCCGTGCGGGCACCTGTGTGCTTGCGGGCCGTGCTCTGAGCTGATGCGAGAGTGCCCTTACTGCCGCGAGCCAGTGATGATGTGTCCGCGTCCGGT